GAGCTGTTCACCACCATGGAGACCCTTGGGGAGCACGACCCCTGGTATGCAGCCCCCCAGTCTGCGGGCGGACACCCGTGCAGCCCGGACTGAGATCTGCTGGGTCCATCTATGTATATAAAAACCCTTTTATGGGGGCGGGGAGATATGTCACTTTTTGTCACTTCTTTACATGACTGACCCTCTATCGCAGTCTTTCTGTACTAGTTGTTTTCCGGACCGAGAAAGCCATCTCCCCCGACCCCCATTTCAGAAGCTGGCTTAGAGCTGACCCCGCCTCTCCAAGCAGCCATGCGGAGCACAGGAGAGGATGTTGTGGGATTGTGACTGTGCCTCTGTGCTTGGGGGCCCTGGCTCGCAGCCTCCCCGCTGAGTGGAGGTTTCTCTTTCCTCCGCAGGTACTGTCCCACCTGTAAGAAGCATCAGCAGGCCACTAAGAAGTTTGACCTGTGGTCCTTGCCGAAGATCCTGGTGGTCCACCTCAAGCGTTTCTCCTACAACCGATACTGGAGGGATAAGCTCGACACAGTCGTGGAATTCCCGGTCAGGTGGGTCCCTGAGCTTCAGAAAATTAAAAAGTCGGCAGGAGACTGGGCACCTGCCGGCTGAGAGTTCTGTCACCAGAGATTCTCCTGCATTAGGATGTGTGTTGCTGGGCTGCAGGCAGTTGGACTTCGGCTGACTCCCCCTCCCCATCCTCCTACCCCTGGGGTAAAGATTGTTCGGCAGGAGCACTTCCCAGGCTCAGGGTAGCCCCTTAACTGAGCTGGGCCTCCCGTCCGTCATGGGTGCAGGACGCCTGGGCTCAGCCAGACGGCGCAGACACACAGGGCTACTGCTCCAGAAAACTGGATGACTGGGGGCAGCAGCAGGGGCGCAGAGCCACCTGTCCGGTCCCTGGGGCAGAGAGTGAGACTGGCTGCCTACTCGTGTCCCCAGGTCCCAGGATGCAGAGTGATGAGCCCAGGAAAGTAAGTCAACCAAGTAAGAGTTCGTCCACAAAGTGCAGATTTTAAAATGCTTCCTGGGGGGTGGGAGTGGAGGTAGAGGGATAGAGTATAGACGTTTGTCTAAAAATGTGTTCAACTTTTCTGTATGTTCGAAATTTTTCAAAATAAAATGTTGGGGGGAAATGTGTTCTGGGACCTGTTTTGGCATATAGCTGAAGTTTTTGTGGCTCCAGCTGTAATTTGGATCCTGACAACCAGGATCCACATAGCGGCTGTAGCCCTCTTATCCATGCCCAGAGCCAGTCCTCACCGCAGGGTGCGGGGCCAGAGCTCCTCTGGCAGCTTCTCTGCAGCCTGCACGGGCCAGTGCTCAGCCCGAGCCAGTGCTTGGGCCCCAGCTGCCACGGCCTCTTCATCTGCTCCTGCCGTGGTTTGCCTTCGAGGGCTCCCATGTTCCAGCCTCGTGCATTAAAGGGGTTGCTGGGTTACTGCTGCTTCTCTCTCTGAGTTAATGTATTAAAGGCCATTTTTGTGTTTTGTGCTCAGAGCTCTGAACATGTCGGAGTTTGTGTGTGACCTGTCAGCGAGGCCTTATGTGTACGACCTCATTGCTGTGTCTAATCATTATGGAGCCATGGGGGTTGGCCACTGTAAGTACTGGCGTTGCTGCCTCTGACGTGTTGACGTGCCCTCGGCCAGTCTCACTGGCCCTTTCCTTTGTGCCGGGCCCTACCCTAAGCGCCTTACACAGCGCCTCAAGCCTGTATCGTCAAGGTGTCAGGCTCTGTTGAACTGCTGCTGGTACTGCTTCATTCTCTCTCTCTTTCTCTTCATATTCTTTTTTTTTTTTTTTTAAGATCTTAGTTTTAAGTACTTTCTCCTCCCAACATGGGCTCGAACTCATGACCCCAAGATCAGGGGTCTCATGCTCCACTGACTGAGGAGCCAGGCGCCCCTGGTCTTCATATTCTTGAATCCAATAGTCCCACCTCTGGGAATCTGTCCTATGGAAAGTACTTGATATTGGGAAAAAGCTTTATGCACAAAGATTCAGCTATTGTAGTGAAAAATTAGTAGCTGCATCAGTGACCCAGCAGTTGGCACTGCTCTTCACCTATGTGTTGGAAGAGCGCACAGCCGTTGCAAAAGAAAATGAATGATAACATGGGGAGATGCCCAGGACATGTTCAGACTTGTGTCATTGCAGAAGCCAGTATCACAGCTATGCTAAAGCAGAAAGCAAGGAAACTCTCTCAGCTTTACCTTATCTTCCAGAATGTCTGGAATGTGTAGGTTTTTGTTTTTTAAATGATTTATTTATTTAAGAGAGAGAGCAGGCAGCCTGGGGAGGGGCAGAGGGAGAGGGACTGTAGGGACAGGCCCTGGGCACCTTCTACATTCTTCACCCCTGGGGTAGGCAGTGCTATGAGGGATGAAGGGCTGGCCCAAAGTCAGTGCAGCAGGTGGAGACAAGCAACCAGTTCTCCATTAGAGTCTGTCATTTCGTAGAGTCTGGAAGGGACAGGAACTGCTCATTGCTGCTGGGATTACGTTGTAAACACATCTTGCTGGGGAATAGTATAAAATCAAGACAGGAAGTGTTTGCTGTGGGGAATGCTAGGCCCACTGTGAGGAATTGTTACCCAGCCACAGACTTTTCACAGTTTCAGAGAAAGATACATTTAAAGCGTCTTGTCCACATCCCAGCTCTACAAACCCAGACGCCCAGGGTGTCCCGCACCGGGATTACCCTGGAGGATACAGAGGTAGGAGGAGGCAGTAGTAGCCATCTGCTGGACCAAGTGAAGTTTGACTTGACTGGTTTTTTTGAGAGCCATTTTTGCTAAAATCTTAAACTCTCAGCTTCCTTTGTGGGTCTCTTGGCTCTGGATGATTACTTATAGCCATCCTGAAGATTGATATTGGATTTCTCTGTTCTTTTGATTAGTTTCCCAAAATCACAGCTTAAAGCCTTGGTCCCTGACCGCTCCATTCTTACCACCACCCCGCCTTTTTTTTTTTAAGGGCAGGAAGGAGAGAGATTATGGAATGGGGAGAGACAATCTTAAGCAGGCTACACGCCCAGCATGGAACCCAGTGCAGGGCTCAAAATCACAACCCTGAGATCATGACCTGAGCTGAAATCAAGAGTCGGATGCTTAACTGGCTGAGCCCGCCAGGGTCCCACCATTTTTACCCTTTTTGAGGAAGAACAGATTTCAAAAAAAAGAGGAGTTATCTTTTAGTTGTCACCTGCAAATTACTTTTAATTTCAGGGCCTTTGTTTTTTTTTTTTTTTTTAGAGTTTTATTGTTGTTTAGTGCAAGCCTAATAAACTAGCCAGATGAGTTCTCTGGTGATTGCTAGAGGTATTTTCTTTGTTGACTTGGCAGACACTGCATATGCGAAGAACAAACTGAACGGGAAATGGTATTATTTTGATGATAGCAACGTGTCCCTGGCCTCTGAGGATCAGATAGTGGTGAGTAGGCTCTAGTGCTTGATTCCTCCTCTTACCTGATGGATTAAAGCTGAGAAGGGTCTCCTGGGCCATCCTGATGTGACAGTGGGAGCTAGGAGTGGTAGACAAAAGAGTTGACTGCCATTCCTTCCAGAACCCTTGATAAATGAGAAACTTCACTCTCCGGGTTTGGTCGCAGGCACCGGCCCTTCCCCACTCTCTGGGCAGGGTCACCTTCCTGGTTGGCTCTGTGCATGGTTGCACAGGGCAAGATGGCAGAGCCCCAAGAAAAAAGCCCTGTTTTGAACAGTGAGCGAAAAGCTGGGAGAATGGGTGATCATTCCAACCGGTGAATGAACTTTTCCTCTCTTGTGTTTTAGACAAAAGCGGCTTATGTGCTATTTTACCAACGTCGAGATGATGAATTTTATAAGACGCCTTCAGTCGTCGGTTTTCCTGGATCCTCCGAGGGAGGGACAAGCCCAGGCAGCTCGCAGCAGGGCACGGGGGAAGACGAGGCTTGCAGCATGGACACCAACTGATGCTGCCTCCGAGACCCTGCTGCCCCTCAGCACCAGTGTAATCCCCCAGGAGAACATCTTTGACACTCTGAAGACTACTAGTGTTCCGTCTAAAAACCAGATGAGGAAATCCCCTTCTTTTATGAGCAGAAGAAAAAAAAAAAGACCCTGTTTTCTCAGAAGGGTTAGGTCAAGAGGCTGAATTATTTTTCTTTTTATACAGGTGGTGAGAAATTTCTGTAAGACCTGTGGAGCTGGAAAGTGGGGGTTCGGGAGGGGGGTGCACAGTGGAGTAAGGCCGAGGAATTCCAAAGAATGGAGAGGAACACTATCATTGAGTGCGGTGGCCACGAAGACCCACTGCAGGCCGCCCTGAGTTCCTGGATTTCTCATTCTGGTGCTGGTTCCTGGTCACCCCAGCAGTCTGCCCACAGTAAACCAAGCCTCCAGTTCACTTGATGTTGTCCCCTTCTCCCTTGCTGTGCACTGACATGGGTTTATAATTCCCTCAAAATTGGTCCCTGAAGCCCATTTCTGTTTCCCTTTGAGCCATCTTGGAGTTTCCAGCTTTCTTCCCCATAATGAAATGAAGATATTTGGTGTTGGGGTCTCCCGCCCCTCAATCTCGTGTGGAACCTAGCAGTTCTGTTATGTCCCTCACCATCCTTGATGAATTGAGACGGTTGGAGATGGGGTGGCACTTTTATTAGATATAACTTAAAAGAAGTTGGTACACAAAACTTCTGGGTCCAGTGGCCCATCTAGTTTCTCTCCACGTTGGCTTGAGAATGGGAAACTTTCCCTTCTCGCCAACTTTGGTAAGAAATGAAATTATCACCACCCCCCACCAGCGGTTTCTGGTTGGTCTTGCCACCCCCACCCCCACCCCCCGCATCCGGCCGCGTCCCTCGCTGGTGGGGGTGGGGGGGCCCTCGCTTCCGCTGCGCGGAGTGGGTTTTAAGAAGAGGTGGTCAGTCGGGGCATTCTTGTCTGACCTTTAACCTTGGCGGGGGTGGGGGAAGCAGGGAACGCCATTCTCAGGCACGCGACTGGCCGGGACTCGCGCGGCGACCGTTGGCCCAGGTGGCGGTGTGGCCGCGCTGGCTGGTGAGGACACGCCTGCGGACCTTCCGCCCGAGGGCCGGCTGCGGGCTTCGGGCTGCTGGCGAGGGCGGAGAGGGGATGCAGAGGCGGCTGGGGCGGGTGGCTGGAGCGGGCGGGCGGGCCCGGAGCCGGGGAAGGCGGGGCTGGGCGTCCCTGGGGCTCCAGTCCGACCGCTGACTCCTCTGGGAGATCCGCGGGCCACACCCGCCACCTGGGCAGGAGGGCGCCCGGAGTGTGTGGGTTCCTCTGCGGTCTGGCCGGTGGCGTGCATCAAGCTCCAGGAGATGCGCCCTTTGGGGGTGGTTTGGAACTTCGTCTGTAACGTTATTCTCGTGTTGCTCTTCGAATGTGCATTTCCAATGTGTTACATAATAAAGACGTGGTCGCTTTTAGGGGAAATGTCTGAAAAACTGCGAAGATGCAGAAAGGAGCTGACTGCGGCCATTGACCGGGCCTTTGAAGGCGTCAGTCATTCCCAGGAGTGCTCGGGCCGGCCGAGGCTGGAGCTGGACGCCGCGCCGCTCTCCTTCCCCCTCCCCGTGCACCGGCTCCTCTGCAGGAGGCACCCGCAGGCGGCCTGCTCCTCCGCGGCTCCCTTCCTTCCAGTCCCGTGCGCTCCTGAGAACGAGAGCCCAGCCTTTGCGCCCAACCATGCCCCAGTGAATGCAAAGCCACAGGCTTCATGCCCGAAAAGAAAACCTCTGACCAGTAAGGAAAACGTATTGATGCATTCCTCCATTTTGGCACCGGAAAGACAGTTCTGGAGAGCCGCGGGAGACGGAGAGAACTGGAGAAAAGACAGCCTAAGGTGATTCCAACTTGACAGTGTAAAAAGTTACAGTTAGGGGGCCCTCGTTTCTGAAAATGTGCACGTTCCTGAGTTGAGTGCAGCACGGCTTCTGCCTGACCGTAGGACTGCCAGACCCTTCCTAGAGACCACTCTGCCGGTCCCACAGTGGTAGTGAACGTTAGAGAACCTGATTCTAAGTCACTTTGGTTTTCATACTGCAGAAAGGAAAATCTTCATTCCAGTGTCCCTGCTAGGGAGAGGCCAGATGGGTGGCTGGTCCCTACTTCCTGCTTTCATCCTTGTTTCTGCACTCTTCACCCCCATCCCTAACCTACTCCCGCTCCCCACCTCATGAGGTCTTAGACCTCATGTTAAGATCTCCCTTAGATCTTTTTTTCCCCGATAGCTTTAAAGTTTCTCTATTTACATAATGTCTACAACGTGGGGCTCCCTCACCACCCTGAGACCAAGAGTCACATGCTGTTCTAACTAAGCCTGCCAGGTGCCCCTCTCCCCGGTAAGGCTTAAACTGCCTGGTTCTAGGCACCTTGAGCTGGAGCAAGGATGACCATATGGGATGGAACTTCAGGGTCCTGCCATCTTGGCTGCCCTGGAAGCAGAGAAGGAAGAAGCCATTGAGTGGGTTCCGTTCTGACATGTGAATACGGGCGTTTGTAGGCAGAAAGGCACTGACACAAAGGTGCTGTCACCAGTGTGCTGTCAGGATGCTCGTGAGTTGCAAGGATATTATTAGTCGACTTCACTGACTCAGCAGTTTCCAGTTGTCTCTGTAATCACAGCATAGTCCAGTATGTTTTTGTTTTTAAGATGAACACTGAGTTCCCCACAAGGTTTTCTTTGAAGAGGCTCTAACCCTCCACCTTTTCTTCTTTTTTTTCCTACCTGGGGGTTGCAGGAAAGATCTGGAGAAAGATCTGAAGGTTGACTCAAACATGCCACTCAGCAATTCTAGCCAAGAGGTCACAAAAGATCTGCTTGATATGATCGGTGAGTACAAAGGGCACACCTGTCCCCTCCTTGGGAGGATAGGTCCTTCACGCAGGCCCCTGAGTCGGCAGGTGTCTTTAAAAAACAAAACCACTCTCTCAGTTCTCATCCGTCTCCATGGTGCCTCTGTTTTGCCCACGGCAGGCTCTCTGCACAGGGCCCTCGTGCAGCTGATAGCCGGTGGAGTTGCACAGGAATCAGGTCATTTCATAAATGTCTGGTTACCGTGAATCCCTGGGCATAAGGGACAGTCGTCCCCAGGACTTGGCTGTTGAGCTTAGATCTGGAGATAGGACATAGGCAAAGATGGGGTGGGGGGGTGGTCCCCCAAGATTAGAAGGAAAGTTAGAAACTCACGTCTCCCCTGTAATGCCAACACCCAGAGAAAGCCAATGTTAACAGTGCTGGAGATCCTGCCAGAGGGATTTTTCCTACACATCTGTACATTCTGTGTGGGAACTGTGTATTTTTTGTATGCTCTTTTTTTTCAAATGACTCGCACTGCTCAGTGGACAGACAGCCCCCCGTGAAGGGCATTGCCTGAACCTGTTGGCTCTGGAAGGGCCTCCAGGTTCTAGGGAATGAAGGGAGGCCTGGTGGGAGGAGAGGCTCCCCTGAGGCCACGGAGCAAGATACCTACCGAGCCACTGGGCGAGTGGCTGGCATCTCCTCTGGGGTAGCTGCAGAGGGGAGCCGGAGACCTCTGCCTCAGCTCACCACCCCCCACAACTCCTTGCCAGCCCCGTGCAGCAGTCTGATTCTGCTGAAGGCTAATTTTTCTCACAGGATGTGTTGCCATGCCTGCAGGTCAGGGAGTTCCCTAAGATCCAAGACAAGCCCAGACATGTCTGAGTCCTCCTTCCTGGGGGACCGGCGGGTAGTTGGGCTCAATAAACGCAGAGCCAGAGGGGTGGGCACCAAGACCACCTTAGCATCTGGGGCTCAGTCTGGCAGCCCGCCTGCCCTGATGTCCCTGGAGAAGGCTGCCCGTTGTGGGTTTTCACTGGTGCCTGAAACGTCTCCTGAAACATCTCACTGGAATCGTAATGCTGAATGTTCTTACTTTTAAGACCATACGAGCATCCGAACTATTGAAGAGTTGGCTGGGAAACTAGAATTTGAAAACGAGCTGAACCGTGTGTGTGGCCGCTGCGGAGATTCGCCCTTCAGGGAGGAGGCCTGGGCCTTGCTTGTGGACGAGAGCCCTCAGAAGGGCCCAGAGAGCGACCCCGGCAGCCTCAAGCAGGCTTTTGACGATCACAATATCGTGGAGACTGTGCTAGACTTGGAGGAGGACTACAATTTGATGAGCTCTTTCAAATACCAGGTTGAGTAAGGACAGCTGCCTGGAGCTTTGGTTCTTTCCAGGAGCAGGCTGCTGTTCGGGCAGCGGTCAGCGTCCTGGGGGCCTCTGCCGCGTGGCTGGCAGGTTCGGAGAATGCCACACCCTTTAACTTGCACTTGTGTCCCTTTTTGAGCTGAAAGCCCAATTTTTTTATTCTGTTGTTTTGAATTGTTTCTCACTGTTGATTTTTTTTTCACTTTTCTTGACATCTAAACTGTGTTTTTGATTGGTATTTAATACACCCAGTACCCAAGGCAGGTGCTGGTCGTGGCCTCTGCTGTGTCTCCCAGTGTTCTTTTCCGTGGGCCCCTGAAGAAGTACTGGGACCACAACCAGGGTGGGCTTTGTGTACTCCCTGGGACCAGCCCAGGCCAGTCCAGCCCACACAGACCATGGCCCCCAGCCCTCCTCCCCTTGCACGCCTTGCACGCAGGGCTATCTGTTCTCTGCCTGGGCTCCAGACCTCCTCATGTCCAGACCAACCTTCCCTCAGCACCCCCAACCCTGACCCTGCCCAGCTTGAAGACCACTGCTGGGGCCTCATGGTTGTGTGGGAGGGGCTGATCCCCACCTGACAGGACATGCCCGTGAGGCCTCCCCACCACATGCCCCACATCGGACACCTGGGCCCCCAACACAGGGCACTGGGAGAAAAAGGTAAGCACAGGTCCTGCCCATCCACCTTCATGCCTGAGGCCTCACGCGTCCCACTCCGGGCCTGGAGACCCTGGAAGCCACAGGTACTGGTGCAAGAAGGGGCAGGGACAAAGAAGGAGCTAGGCCTAAAAGCCTGGCAGCAAAAGCCTAGCGGGGCTGGCTCCAGCCATACCCCTGGAAAGAAAGGACAAGGACATCATCAGGAAGGGAGGCAAGCTTTGATGCCTCCTGGAGACAGAGTCCCAGAGAAGTGCCTGCCTTCTGGGCTCAGATGGGCAGCATGGGGTGAGGAGGCTGGCACAGGGGCTATTGGTAAGACCCAAAGAACTGGGAAGGAAGGCCCCGTGGCCAAGGGGCCCCCTTGCCATGCCTTCTTTTAGGCTACAGACCTAAGCACAGGGCAGGCTGGTCACCAGGTCTGGTGACTCCCACTCTCAGGCAGAGACTGCACTCCCGCTTCCCAGCAGGGTAGCCATGTCATGGGAAAGGCCTCGGGACAGCCCCCCCGCCACTGTCCTGCCTGGGGCAGAGGGGGACAAGATTAACCAGAGGCTCCTCCCCAGCCACCCTACACTCAGTCCCCACAGCGGGTGGCACCCTCAGTAAGCACTCACTCCCCGCGGGGTGGGGAGTTTCTTCTCCCTTAGCAGGAAGGACAGGAGCAAATGAGGAGAAAGGCTCAGAGCATCCTGGGAGGCCCTGCTCAGGTGTAGGGTGGTCTGTGCGCGGAGAGATGTCTACCTGATACCAGAGAAAGCCAGGGTTCATGACAGTGCGTTCGAATAGTAAGTGCTGATGTGGACAGTCTCCAGGGGAGAAGGTGGCGCTTAATCCGCCTGCCTAATCCCACCCCATCCCTTCACCACCCCTTGACGCTGGACTCCACTCAGTGACTCACTTCCTAGGAACAAAGGGAAAAATAAAAACATTTCTTTTTTCTTAAAGATTGTATTTATGTGGCAGAAAGAGAGAGAGGGAGCTTGCACAAGCAGGGGGAGCAGCAGCAGCGGGAGCCCAGTGCAGGGCTCAGTCCCAGGTCCTGAGCTGAAGGCAGACACTTAACCAACTGCGCCACCCAGGCTCCCCAAATCCGTAAATTTCTATGGAGAAGCCTGATGGCACCCAAGCAAGTGATAAAGGGGACACCACCAGTGATGTCATGTGGATGCCACCACCACCACCACCACCACCCCCCGCCATAGGGAGCAAGGAGAAGGGGCCTCCACTTCCGTTGACTTCTTACCCAAAGCCCATGTCCCCGGTCTGATCACAAGCTAAACGGCCGACAAACCCAGGCTGGGGGTGTCCTGCAGGACGCCCGGCCAGCGCTCCAGACTGTCAAGGTCATGAAGAACAAGGAAAGACTCCAAACCTGTCACAGACTAGTGAAGACTAAGGAGACACACTGATTCTCTGCGTGGTAGTTGGGATTACATCCGGGAGCAGAACAAGATGATGGAAAAACCAGCAAAGTCTAAATAAAGGCCAGAGTTCATGTATTTTTCTCAGCTTTGACAAAATGTGCTTCAGTTACGTAAGACAAAGGGAAGCTGGGTGAAGGGTGGATACAAACTGCCATTGCAACCTTCCTGTAAATCTAGTTATTCCGAAACTTCAAGCGTATTTATTTTTTGAAAGTGCACTTGGTCTCCAGTTTGTACAGATGTGTGTGAGCACAGCATGTGCAGGAGATTGTCACAGAGGGACGAGGGGGTTTGTCTCCCCCCCCCCTTGTCCATATTTTCTAATCTATCTGCAGTGGACATGCACGGCTTCTTAAAGCCCTCATCTCCACCAACCAGCCACAGGTATCCCTACCCGCTGACTGCCCAGAACTGACTTTCACAGTCCCCAGAAGCTGGAGCAGAGGCCAGACCGGCAATGGGAGGATTCACAGGACCTTGACCTTGAGGATGCGGGGTCCAGGGACTGGAAGCTCTAGGTCTCCTGGAGCTGCTGCTCAGCATTCCATTCCTGCTCCCCCAGGGTCTTTGCACGGGGAGTGGGTGCTGGAACGGGGGCCTAGCCCTAACCATAGACGACTGAAAAAAACAAAGGCAAGGATTGGAGGAGACTGTAGAGGAGACTATGGTCTTTGAGAACAAGGGTCAGCATGAGGGAGGGACCCAGCTCTCCCTGGTGGGACAGGCAGACATATTGTTATTTTAGCTAAGCCTTTATGTAAAAATTCAGATTTACCAGAGGGGTAATTCATCCTGGGATCCTTGAATGAGGAGATTTCCCTCACTGTAGAAACACAGCTATTCAGTTAAAGCAGGTGAGCCTTGAGCCTCTGGCTCTCCAGTCCCAGACTAACATGGGGAGCCATATGGCCATTTCCCTGGCGACATGGACTCCTGTCTCCATATCCCTGACTCCCTGAGGTGCCCCAAGGAGACCTTCCTGCCTTTGTCATCTGCTATACTGGGCAGATGTGTGCTCACGCACGTACAGCGGGGGTGTTCAGGGAGTGGGGCTCCAAGGACTTAGCTAGAAGGGGAACAGGAGTCTAGAACATTTATTTTAATACAACTTCCTCAGGTTTTCAGGGGGCTGGGACCAAAGGCTTCTCGGGGAGACAATGATAGTCATATTTGAGAAACTAAAAATGTTTTACGTCATTTGGTTCTCTCCCCCGCAGCTCATCTTGGCAAACCAAACAATCACTGAATTGTTTCCGTGGAAACACCAAACTGTGATTTGGATTAACAGACTCAAAATAGAAACAAGGCAACCTCAAGAATAAATAGGAGCTTTGGAACCTGCTAGTCACAAACTGCAAATTCAAGCCACAGCACAAGGCACGTGAGAAGTGGGGCCCATCTAGCCCTGTAAGAGGTCTCCAGGTCCCCTGGCTGCATCCCACCAGTGTCCCTGCCCAAGCCACTAGAAAGCAGCTCTATATGCAGAATAGTAAGACTTTGTAAGGTGGGAGCTGGTCCACAGAAGCTCCTAGGACCTGCTGGGGGGCAGGCAAGGACGGTTGAGGAAGAAGGGGTAGGAAAATGGAGAGATGAGCCAATGGTTGAGTGAAGGTCTGGAAGGAGCAGAGAGCCACAGCTAAGGCCTGAGAGCCGAGGAACACTTCTTTCAAAAGGAGAATTTAGGGATGGCCACGGGCTGGAAATGTTGACCTTGGCTTCAGCTTCATCCCTATTGCCACGTTCTCCACATTCCTGGACATGGCTATCTAGCCACTTGCGGCTGAAGTCTGAAATCTTGCCAGGTGAGCTCTGGGGGCACTTCTGGTTAGTAAGCCTCTGCTTCTGTGTGGCTCTAGCCGGCTCAACCAGGCACTGGGGCCTGCCTTCTCATCTCTGGGTCTCCAGGCTCCCCTCCTCCTGCCTCCTGCTCCCTCTCACTGGGGGACTAGGAGAACTACCTCCTGGCCCACCTGTTCTGACTCCTTGGACCCCCACTTCTAATCCCAGGGCAAACCGCAAGGGGATCAGAGACTCAGCAGAAGGGAACAGAAAACCTGGGGGCATGTGTCCCTCCCCTGTGCACCCAGGAATGTGCTGGTAGGGCGGCGACACCATCCTCCCACTAGAGGAGTTGTGAGCTGTTAGTGGTCAAAGAAATTGAGGAAGAGATTTGCAAAAGAGGCCTAATTCAGGCCAATCTCCCTCTTCCTGAATGGCCAGGTTGGGGCTCACTGGGTATCAGTGTGCCATCTCTGCCAGCTGACCCCAGGACGTTTAATATGGCAGTGACCCGTGAAGAAGGCACACAGACGACAGAGGCCACTGCACCTGATTGCAGATAATTACTGAAAAGGCTTTCATGGCAAGACTGTCTGAGGCTCTGGCAATCTGCTTTCTCCCTGGAGTATGTGGGAGAATGTTAATATTTTATGTTCCAGATAAATATTTATAGAGTAGACAAAGTTTTACTTAGGAAATCTACTTGACAATGAATCCTAGCCTTAGAGGGGAAGGACTCTCTGTGCTCGGCCAGCTGGAAGATGACTGATTTGATGAAAGGTTTTGGCCTAAGGCCTGGCATGAAAAAATTTTCGAAACTGCTCAACCCTTGTAGGAAGCAACTATCTTTTTTTTGAGCGCAGAAAGGCTACATTCTGGGCACTCTGGGTGGAGAAGGGTTTCTGGCATCTGGCCGGGGAGAGAAGAGGCCATACTGCGCGAGACCCCTCATCAGGAGCCCTTTGGAACTTCTGAGACAAAATGCTAAAAAAGGAGGTTGCAAGAGGATGCTGGAGAACTGACTTTGGGACAGGGCTGCAGGGAACTGTTCAAATGGCGAGCAAGAAATCTCCGCTCTCAGTATTTGTCAAGTGTCTGCTCGTGTCAGACACTCTCCCGGACGCTGGGGGTACCGCAGGGGTGAGGCAGACGCTGTTATTGCTTCCGAGGTTTATACCCACCACCCCCAGCAAGGCAAGTAAAACATAGGTGTGCACATCAATACACTGTTTGAGATGGAGCTGTGGGAGAAAATTACAACAAGGGAAGGCAATGGGCAGTGAGTAAGGCAAGCTTCTACAGAAAAGCTCACAAAAAGACCTCTCTGTAGGTGACATTTAAATTGATACTTGAATGTCAAGACAATTAGGTGATGTGGTTGGCTGGGGTCATTGTCAGAGGGAGGCAGCCCTAGGT